CAGAAGACCTGGGATTACTAAATGCTAACACCTTCCTACACATGCAGTTTCTGCTGTAGATAAGATAAAGCTCCGTCCACGGCTTATTGAACCTTTAAAAGACGTGGCCAAGTGAGGCCTTGCGTATACGCTGAACCTTCCGAGAAGGATCCATACCCACACGGTGTTTTATGGGACTTGCTTGAGCCATACCGGGATCCGACGCAAGTGAACGCGGAAGCGTTGGCCCGGAATAGCTAAGACGCTTTTAGCGTCAGAACAGCTATCTTTTTAAGTGCCTCAAGTCAATATGCTTGATTGTTGGTGCTTACGAAGGCGTAACAAATTCCAATTATGGTCATGGATATGCGGCTGAGTGTTGAATATTTTAAAGCCCGAAAAATGGAGGAGGTCATTCCCATCCGGGCTTGCGCGACGAGTAAGGAAAGTCATGAGAGGTCTGCTGCGTGATGCACTTGCCAACATCACATGTCACCTGGATTTGGTAAGATTAATGGTCTGCCCTTACTTTGAGGCTGCTGAGGCTTTAACTTCCCCTCTAGCTAATCCTGCTCCCGCATCATGAGCTTATAGACTGGCAAAAGAGTGAGAGTTACACGATGCGATAGGCTCATGGGGCACGGACTTGGTGAGCACAAGACATGGTCGGCTGCTGTATCTAAAAGCTTATCTATACGATTATGACTGACTTGAAAAGTCTCGCGTTTTGTGATATATAAAGTCAGATTTTTTATAGAGTGAGTATCGCGGACTCATTATGCTTTCATTTAGCTGCAGATCCACGTTCGTAGGTGTCTATAGGTATGAGCATAACGTGTGGAGCTGAGTTTGTTGAATTGAGTCAATCAAATCAAAGTCACATCACAATATAGCCGCTCGCAATCGTATCGGTGGTAGCTGTGACTTATGTGCTTGCAAAAAAGCAATTCAGCTTTTGAGAAAGGTCCTGTTCATTCCAAAAGGAGCCAAACTCATGTTCCACGATTGCTTTTCGCTGGTCCGGGCGGTGTGCTCTGCCCGCGGTTCGAAAACTGGAGCTGCTCGAACTCGTAGAAATTTCAAATGGAATGAAAAAAAGCTAGGTCGTTATTAAAGAGGAGTTTTAAGTCGAAACTATATCAGGAACATCGACAAGTCACATTTGAAAACACCCAAAGTCCTTCTGAGGTCGCTGAATTTTTTTTCGAACTTGCGTTCTCCGCGCTATGTACCTGCAGAAGTAGTAAACTTGCCTTCTTGGAGCTCACCATTAGTGTGGCCCTCGAACGGGATGAACTAGAAATATGTGTTGTGTATTCAATGCGATTCTCAGCCTGTGGGGTATCATTGAAAGAGTTCGACTTTTTCTCACGGTTCATTAAAGCTTGTACTTACAAAATAAGTGGTTGACAAACCATACTACGCATTTGATACACGTCGCAAACAAATATTCGCTCACCTTTCTGCATTAAGCACCAAAATTAATGATCCTCTTCATCTTTTTTCATGACGTGCACGTATCGGTTCCTATCTTTAGACTT